TTTAAATATGCACACAATGCTGTCTCTCAAGAAATGTATTTCATAGAAACACTCAAATTTTGATGATTAATGAAACACTGTGGGTATGTAAGTAATTCTGATATTATAAAAATGAAATTAAAACCACTCACTTTATAAGGACATACTTTTTTGCATTGTTTTCTTTCCTAAAGAGGAATACACAAAATGCCTATTCATCCAATGCATCTTAAATTAGATGTTATTTAGTTTAGTGTTGCAAAGTATTATACAAATATCATACCAAAATTAATTTTCATTTTTCATTTCCCCTAGTTTTTAATAGCATGTTATGACAACAATTTCAAAGGGGCAATAATTGGGAAATAATCTGAATCCCAGATCAAAGCTAAGGAACATACAAGTCATAGATTTTTAAGTTATTAGAAATTATATTTTTATTTAAATAAAACATTTTTGTTGCATTTGGCCTTAAACATATTTCACTTCTTCAGAAAGTCATTTTACTGCTAATCGGTGCCAACTCCCAGTTTAACGTAGATAAAATTAAGAGCTATTGGTGGGCTCGTTAAAATTGGGCTTGACAGTGGAAATGCTGAAAAATCCTTATACCCAACACCAGCAGAATGAAATGCTTGTACTTCCAGCAAATGCTGATGTGCCGATTTGAGAGCATATGAGAAATTGGTAAACTTGCCCAGGAGACTTTACCATATTATTCACCGTACTTGGATTGTGATACAGTAATTGCTTCTGGTACCATTTTTCTTTCTTTTACAAGAGGTTATCATTTATCTATACATCATGTGAAACAGAGAAAGACAGTGTAAAGGAGAGTCACAAGTTGATGTAAAACTATTGTCTTCACAGAGTAGCTGGAGATAGAAATCTCACCTGGAAAACGGTGTCTTACTTATCAGAATTAAATATGAGAACAGTAACATTTGACATTGTGGACAGCCATAAATACTTTACACGTAGCCTAATTTTTTCTCTAGTGATGTACAAAGGTATTTGAATTTTTTAATCACCTAGGGATAAATAGTTATTTCCCTGTGACATGAGTTTACTTATTGTCTTGTAGATAGATAAAATTAAATTAATATATTGAGTGGCCACTTGTGCAATTAAATGAATGAGATTAAGTGACTAAAATCTTCTGAAGTTATTTTGTATTTTAATTTCTTATACATATTTTTATATACTGCAAACACATCATGTGCATCATTAGCTATCATAATATTTTCTAGTATAACTAAAATACTCATTTTCTTTAAAAACATACCATTACTATTTTAGACCAAAAATGTAAAATTTTCCCAATTTTAACAACCTTAGTAGTGTAAAATATAGAAATGTCATGTAATGATACACCTCAATCTGATATAACTTATGCTGTTTCACAACTTCTTAAAATACTCCAAAGTATTTTAAAGAATTTTTAATACTTTTATGTATCTTAATTATTTAAAATAATATGCTATTGATCAGGAAAAGGTGCTAATTTATCATGTAGAAATTAATTTTCTGTGTTATGTATTCATTCCTTACTCTCCTCTGTAATGATGTCTTGATTATACTGTTCAATAAATAATACCATTTTGCATGTAGTATAGCTCAATGTCTAATCCCAGCTGATTAAAAAATTATAAAGCAATACAACATGTATTGAGTCATATAATGAGTTATGGATAATTATGCATTCATGTGAAGTTTGGAGATGATTATTAAAGATAAGTTAATAGGGAGGCTTATACTGAAGATTCAGGAGTAACTATAACTGCATATATAGTGGCTGCTATTCTATAACAAAGATTAAAAAAATTCTTAGCATCTTCCATTTCATTTTGCTTTCTGTAAAATGGAAATGATATGATCACTGATCTCGTGTAGTCATTATAAGAAGTAAATAATTAAAGGACTTAGAGCAGGGCCAAGCACAATAGTAAGTGCTTGGAAAAACATCACTAGAATTATTGCTTAGTTAATGGAACTTAACAAGGTGTATATGCTGTGCATTTAGAATAAAAATGAGTGAATATCATCTACTTATTTGCAAAATATATAATAATTAAAACCAGAGTATGAAGTCTGTAGAATTAATCTACTGCACTTGCATGATTCTTTTGACTATAATTCTAATTACCCAGAATTCTCAGACTATTCTTTCCTCTTCAAGGGAATGTGATTTTCTCACCTAAATAATGTTTTATATGGATTCAAGAACTATGGATTTGTTAGTACCACACTGTAAACCAGTAGAGGCACTTATATATCTCACAAGGTTTTAATACTTATTTTCTTCTGGTTTAGGTACCATGCCTTCTGTTATTTAATAGAGCCTTGATTGTTTCAGTCCAATGCAGTAACTATTTTACTGCAAACATCTTATCTGCCTGTCAGTTCTGGTTATTTTGTTACAGAGTTGACTCTCTTGACATATGAATTTTCAATATGTAGTGTTTATTAATATTTGCACGTATAGACTTACATATATGCACTACTTCCCAATATAAAATGTTTAAAATAATTAAAGGTAGTTGGGGGTCAGGAAAAGACAATTAAGTATTTCCAGAACAGGAATGCACAGTAGAAAGATCCTATCAGCCTATGGCTGATTTTCATTGTAAAGCATGAAGGTCACCACAATAGAATATACTCTTCAGAATTGTGTTTTCTAATATATGAGACTGGAAGGCCAGGGAATGAAGGGAAATGTCCATTGATAGAATGATATATACATATCTGTCATACACGTAGTGATCTATTTGTCCATAAAGAATAAATTGTGAATATGATCATACTATACATATAAACTTACCCATATTACAGCAGCTTAGAGTAACCACAAATATATCTAATTCTGGGCATACTTACAGGATAATATCTGATTCCTATCTGTTTGTACTAATGTCACATAAAATAGACCATTCATGGTGTATTATCTTTCAAATAATCTTGTGTTGCTTAAAGCAACATAAAAATATTGGGAAAACACATTTCACAAAATTAAAAAGAACAGATTTACATTCTTTGACTATTATCAGCTGTTCACAGATTTTACCTTTGAGACTTGAGAAATGTGTTTAACCTTACCAGACAATTGACTGGTAACTGTAAATCTGTCCTGATAGAACACTATTGAAGATTTTAAAAACATTCAGCATCATAGGTCACCAGGGAATTTCATATTGAAATAGTAGTGAGATGTCACCGAAAGTCATTAATAATTTCCAAAAGTACACAACATTGACCATCATAAGTATTGGTAAGGAACACAGCAACTAGACTTAAGAATGTTCACACTACTTTGAAATACCGACTGTTGTGAAACATGGCATTCACTTACCAAAGACACAGCAACCATCTTCTTTGGTATATATCAAAATAAATTGCAAAGTCAGGTGTTGACACCAGACTTGGTGCATATGGCAGTTTTGTAGGTCTTTCCCAGAACTTTAGTTTCTTTACCAATTAAATGGGCAAATAGTTTAGGCACATATGCACAATACAATATTATTGAGCCCTAAGGAGAAATGGGCTAATAAGCCTAAATAGGACATGGAAAAATATGAATGGCACACTACCAAATTATGTAAAGCTAATCTGAAGAGATTATATACTGTACTTTTCCATTTAAATAAAATTCAGGTAAAGGCAACACCTTGGGCATATTAAAATCATTAATGTTTGGTATGATTTAGGAGAGAGCAGTAGTGTGGCCTGTGCTAATAACATATTCTATCTGCTCCTCAAAATATACTAGGGTCTGAATTCTATTTGTACTTACCAAGAATGAGCACATTCAATGTGACGGGGTCCTACACACACACACACACACACACACACACACACACACACACACACAGACACACACACACACACACATGCACACACACACACACAGACACTGCACACACACACACACACACACACACACACACACACACACACACACACACACACACACACACACACAGACACACATGCACAGTTTGATTGCCATGTTAGAGAGTCACAGGTATTGTGCTTGACTCCTTAAGTTTCTCATTTTCAATCTGTTCAGTACTTCTCCCTCCCTGAATTGGATGTCACTTCAACAAGTTGTGTTCTTTTCATTTTGTTCCTATGTCGTATTAATCTTCATGCCTGAAATCTACTTTCAAATGTTTAAATAAATTGCCTCCTTTTCCTATTTTAGGATGTATCTTATATTGTACCTCCTTATTCAAGGCCTCAAAAGACCTAAGTCAATTTTGTTTTGTGTTCTGCTGTCTTACCAAGTATTTTTCAGGTTTTTTTCTATGCTATTGACCCATTTTTTTTGTTGCTTTATATAAAACTAACCTTAATCTGAAATTCGGTGTTCTGTGTATTTATGCTTTTAATATCTGTTACAAGATCAATTCCTTGGCTCAATGATTTCTCTTTCGTGTAGAAGTGGTGATGGCTCACATTAGGAATGTGACACAGAGTGTCACAATGTAAAGCATCAGACTGTCTCAGCATTTTAAGAGAGCCACTACTTTTTCTTCTAAGATTCACTGTAGCACTTGTAATTTCATGATTATATGACAAATGTAGTATTATGAGTTATTAGTATTCTCCCAAGTTGTACAAATTAATAAAGAATTCAGATTATTTTTCATTCACAGATCTGATTGAAATAGGATATCAGGATTTGTATAAGTAGTACAATTTGCATTTGTCTATCCTTATCCTGATATATATATATATATATATATATGCATATATGCAAATATCACAAAATTGTGTATTTATGATTATACATGGTGAGGTTTTTAGAGTTAGTTTTTGTGATACAAAAATATCTCTTAAGTGATATCAATCTCTCTTTTTTAATATTTCAAACTATGTTTAAAAGAATAAGAAGAAAATTAAATTTATTGTTGTTCTAAAAAATGAAAATTTTCTATTTTCTAAGAAATACAATTTCTCTGATGTTGTTTACTGGTTGACTAGTTGACTGATGTGTCTCTGTTTCATGTTTAATGTTCCAGGAAGAACCCTATGTCCTGTTTAAGAAGTCTGACAAACCTCTCTATGGAAATGATCGATTTGAGGGCTATTGTATTGATCTCCTGCGAGAGTTATCCACAATCCTTGGCTTCACATATGAAATCAGGCTTGTGGAGGATGGAAAATATGGAGCTCAGGACGATGTGAATGGACAGTGGAATGGAATGGTTCGTGAACTAATTGATCATGTGAGTATCTTTTCCTATTTCCTGTCTCCTTCAGGTGCTTGCTCTATGTTTTGCATCATCTTATTCAAAGCAGATGTTTTTGTCACTAAAACCAAACAAATTCAAGAATATACTATATCCCTCTAAGAAAGATGTCTGCTCTAAATTACCTTGATGTTTGATATTTGCAGATAGCTGGTCTTAATTTTTCCATTGTGGTGCAATTTCCAAGCAGTGAATTTTCACAGTGTTAACTTCTTAGTCATCAGTAAATAAGTATGCAAACTCCAAATTTCCTTTTCTAGCATAGGATACTTTGAGATAAAATTATAGTATCTATATTAAAAGAAATGTAACATGAAATAATGTATAAAATCAAGAACAGAAACAATTTAATCAAAACAATAGAGATTTTTCATATGACTTAAATCTTAAATATTCAGCAATTGACTTGTTTTCATTAACAAAAGTAGGTGTTCTTTATAAGCCAGAAAAGTACTGTTTCAGAATTCCTAGGTGGCAGTTTTCAATGAATTAATTTATTTGAAATACATTTTTATAAGCTAGAACATTATATAGCATTGTATTTCATTTTGTGCATTGTGACATTTGATTCACTTGAGAATTTCTACAGTAATAAACATTATACAACTAATATTATGTAATAGGCTTACTATTATTAAGGTAAGAATTATACAAAATAATGAAACTAATTCTCTTTTAAAAATTAATGTGTTGCTAAGTCTAGTAGTACAGGGATATATTCCCAGCCACTTGAGAGGGTGGGGCAGCAAGACCACAAATTCAAGACCAGCTTTGGAAACTTAGTGAAATCTGGTTTTAAAATGAAAAGCAAAAGTAAGTGTGGAAAGAACTTCAGTGGAATATTTCTTGCCTTGCATTTGAAAGCTATAGTTTCATTACCAATACTGAAAAAATAAAATGTAAGAAAATATTATTAACTATTATTAACTATTATTTCACTAAAGCTCTTACCAATGCAAATAGAAACTGTAGACAATTTTACTCATCATTATTTTTATATCAAATTTCACTTTATTTTTTTTTATTCTTTGGAAATTTCATACATGTATATAATTCATTCTAGCCATATTCTTTCCCTATTCTCCATTTCCTGCTAAAATTATTCTTTCCAGGCCTCTCCACTCTTTCCACATTTTCTTTTATATTAATTGTTCAATCAACTGAGTCTAATCTGAGTTGTTTTCACAAGCAAGGGTCGAAGATTTTAGACAATGAAACCTCTTCCCATAGCATTCAATAACTCATCATAGACATCCAGGGAGAAGCAGAGCCTCATGCCCCCCCCCCCCCATTCACCATGGTGACACAGATGCCCCATCACTTACTATCAACAGTTTTCCTTTTAAGGATTTCTGCATTAACCACTGCCCACTAACTTGCATACTGTTTATTAACAGCTCTTTGCTGATGTTTATTTGCTATCACATAAGTGTCATTTCCTCAAGGTGGGGGGGGATGAATTTGGCTTTGATTAAAAACTGAATAACTATACAAATAAATTATTAATTTTTCTTCAAATCTTTTGTATTTGTCTTATTTGTTTAGAATTTACTAAATTATATCCTGAGTTGTAGACTTCATCAGCTATTTTTCATAAGGTCAGCACAAATAATCCATACATATTTTAATTCTGCATAGTCTTTTAGAATCTGATTAAATATAAGATTATTTATTTGTGTTGGAGCCAATTGTAAAATATTGAACGTACTGTTACTATTCATTTAATATTTACTATTACTATCAATTACAAATTGTAATTGGTTGCATTATCAGTGACTTAAGCAAGAATGATAATTTATTGGTTTTCCTCTTTGTAAAGTCAGAAATAGCAAATGGGCCTGGTGTGATTCTGTCCATGTTATCATGATGTGCTGTCTCCGTTTTGTCTGCATGTTTGTTTCCCTGAATATGCCACCAGCAGGTCTGGATTATTCAGGCAGAAATATAGTAACATTACCCTGACAGATTAGTAAAAGACCTCCTATTGTGTTTATTGATATGGCCTAGTTCATAAACTAAATTCACTGACAAATTTTCAGTGAAAGAAAATGTGCCATTATGAGTAGTTGGGGTGCCTATGAAATAGTTCAATCAAGGAGGAGCATATGATATCATCTCAGTCCCAGTAAAACCATATAAAATTTGAATGTAGAAAGTGGGTTTCCAAAGACAAATCAAGATGTTTATAACTGAAAATATGCGCTTCACAAGCATTGAAACTCTCTAGAAAAGCATGTGTGACATTTCCACAATTCTTTTTATGCAAAAGCCTAGTATACATTATTTTAGTTACTTAATAATAGATATTTTAATTCACAATATTTACTTGAAACACACACACACATATTCATAATATGTACATTGCTAGTATTAAAGCCTTGACTATATAAAATAAGTTCCATAGTGTTTCTCACCTAAAGCATCCCTAGATGTAAGGTTTAAAATGTGCCATTAAGGTGGGCATGAGGCAGGTAATGCGAGGTAATTATGAGGCAGAGCCTGTAGAGTTTCAAGCCTGAGGCCAGTCCAAATGACAAAATGAGAAAAAAAATCTCAAAAGAAACAACAAAGATAAAAGTGTCTCCTTAAATGCAAGTCTCTTTCTGTCCTTAGTTAATTATCTACAGATCTTATTATTAGGCATTGACTCTGTTTATGAGGCAAAGGGATCTGATCTTTTTGAGGGGGAAGGGGTCATTTGCAAAAGTTCAGAGAGTTTTACTGTCCTGGAATTCAGCATGCTCTTAAACATCTAATAATATAGCCCTTTACAACACAGGATTATCTGGAGGAAATGTCCATGCTGAAGTAGACACAGAGCTCTTGGCTGATGCATTTCTTTTAGTCTCCATTTAGATAGACAACGATCCCCTTCCCCACATTTTAAAAAATATTTTAAAAATATATTATTTAAAATATTTTTTTATTTTTACTTAAATAAAAACAATCTTATTTTACATACCAGTCCTAATTTCCTCTCCCTCCCATCCTGCTGTGCCCCTTACCAACTCCCCATCCTGCACCCTATCCCAAATGCAGAGATGTTAAGGCTTCCCATGGGGGGTCATCAAAGTCAGTCATATTATTTAAATCAGGGTCTAGGAACTGCCACATATATATAGGCTGAGAGACAGTAACCCTCCATACGGAATGGTGTCCCAAAGTCCTTGCACTAGGGACAAATACTGGTTCCACTGCCAGAGGCCCCTTAGACTGCCCAAGCCCCTCTACTGACATCCACATTCACGGGGCTTGGTTTGGTCCTATGCTGGTTCTCCAGCAGTCAGTCAGGGGTCTGTGAGATCCCACTTGCTCAGGTCAGCTGTTTCTGTGGCTTTCTCCAGCATGGTCTTGTCCTGTTTGCTCATCACTCGTCCCTATCTACAGCTGGATTCCAGGAGTTTTTCTCAGTACTTAGCTGTGAATCTCTTCTGCTCCCATCAGCTATTGGATGAAGGCTCTATGATGGTATTTAGGGTATCGAATAATCTTACTATAGGGAAAGGGCATTTAAAATAGCCTATCCACTATTGCTTAGATTTTTAGTTGGCATCATCCTTGTGATTCCGTGGAGAATTACATAGTGCCAGATTTAACATTAAGGCCAAAATGGCTCCCTCTATTAAGGTATCTCTTTCCTTGGTGTCTTTCTCTTTTCTTCCACAAATTTGACCATCCTGATCCCTCATCTTCTAACCCCCTCCTCTTCTATGCTCCTATTTCTCCTAACTCCCTACCTCTCCTACATGCTCCCAATTTACTCAGGAGGTCTTGTCTTTTTCCCCTTCTCAGAGGGGTCAATATATGCCTCTTAGGTTACTCCTTATTTCCTAATTTACCTGGGGTTGTGAATTATAGGCTGGTTTTCCTTTGCTCTATATCTAACATCCAATTAATAGAGAGTACATACCATATTTTTTTCCTGTGTCTGGGTTACCTCACTAAGGACGTTTTATTCTAGATCCATCCATTTGCCTGCAAATTTCAAGATTCATTTTATTTCCCACTTAGTAGAGCTCCATTGTATAAATGTACCATATTTTCTTCATCCATTTTTTTGGTTGAGTAGCATCTAGGTTGCTTTCAGATTCTGGCTATTAAAAATACAAATAATGCTGCTATGAACATAATTGAAAGGATGTCCTTGTGGTATGACTGTGCATCATTTGGGTATATACCTACAAGTTGAATCGCTGGATCTTGAGGTAGACTGATTTCCATTTTCCTGAGAAACCACCATACTGATTTCCAAAGTGGCTGTACAAGTTTTCATTCACACCAGAAGTGGGGGAGTGTTCCCCTTTCTCCACATCCTCTCCAGTATAAACTTTCATTGGTGTTTTTGATTTTATCCATTCTGACAGGAGTGAGATTAGTTATCTCAGAGTTGTTTTGATTGGCTGATGGCTAATGAAGTTGAGCAATTTATTTTTTGTTTTTAATTTTTTCTCCCAGTTCCCTCTCCCTCCTATCCTCTCCTAAACAGAGCCCCCCCCCAACCCAGACCCCTTCTGTTCCCCAGAGAGGGTGAGGCCCTCCATGGGGGATCCCTAACATCTGTCATATTATTAAGGACAGGGCCTAGCTTCTCCCCCATGTGTCCCAGGCTGAGAGAGCATCCCTCCACTTGGAATGGGCTCCCAAAGTCCATTCGTACAATGGGGATAAATAATGATCTACTACCAAAGGCCCCATAGATTGCCAAGGCTTCCTCACTGAAACCCATGTTCAGAGGATCTGGATCAGCCCCCTGCTGTCCTCTCAGCCATCAATCCGGGGTTCATAGCTCCCCTTTGTTCAGGTCAGCTGTTTCTGTGGGTTTGATCAACCTGGTCTTGACCCCTTTGACAATCACTCCTCCCTTTCTGCAACTGGGTTCCAGGAGTTTAGTGTTTAGCTGTGGAAGGCTCTAGTACAGCATATAAGGTGGTCATCAAACTCATTACCTGGGAAAGGCATTAAAGGCAGCCTCTGCA